GCAAAGTCGAACTTTGTATGTGGTGATTATTCATAGAGTAGCTTGCAGCATAACCTAGTTCAAAGGACAGCAGAATTGTGGAAAGTAAGTAGAACACTGAAGGAAGAAAGGAAAACTCAAGATATCTTAAAGCAAATTGAAGACAAAATTGAGCTCTTCAGTAATTTACATATAACTTTTACAGTTCTTCCACATTTCATGACCATACGAACTTTGTATGTGGTGATTATTCATAGAGTAGCTTGCAGCATAACCTAGTTCAAAGGACAGCAGAATTGTGGAAAGTAAGTAGAACACTGAAGGAAGAAAGGAAAACTCAAGATATCTTAAAGCAAATTGAAGACAAAATTGAGCTCTTCAGTAATTTACATATAACTTTTACAGTTCTTCCACATTTCATGACCATACAGCTCCCCTTACCATGTCTCCCAACACTGTGGGCTCCAAACATCACTAGAGAAAATTGGAAATGTTCCATCATGCACAGATTAAATAGCATCTTTTTTCCTTTATAAGAAAGGAACCATGCAGGAGCTTTAATGCAGGAAGAGTTATGTGTCAACATAACTGACAACAAGCACACCTAAAGTACTGAAAAAATAGTGATACAAGTGATCTGATGAATGTGACTGGAAAAGAAAGCGTTTTGAGGCATAGGGCTGGGACAAAGAGGGGGGGATAATGTGGGGCATTGAAGGTGGTGAGAAATTTTGGTTTTCTCCGTTAGTGAGATTTGTTAACCAGCCCCAATAACATTTTGATTTTGAAATGAATTATTTCACCCATAGTATGAGGTGTTCAGGTGCTGGAGCTCACATTCTCTGGGTGCTAGGGTTTAGAGTGGTGCTGCATCTCCTGTCATGTATCAGTTTCTCCTTGCTTCATGAAAGGGAGGACAGTACATAGTGGAAATACCATAATATGCCTGAAGAGGTGGAAGTTTCCCTGGAAAAATAAGTTATCTAGGGAATTTACCACATAGAAGGGAATGGGAATGTGGTCTCAGAAATGCCCAGAAGTCAACAATTGATCCATTTTAATTCTCAGGAAGTATTTTGAGCACCATTTTTTGGTGGCAGCTTTAAATTTTCAATGTAAAGCTGAGAGTCTCCATGAAGAAATTTTTGTTTCTGGTTGTTTTGTTGCTGTCTTGGGGTTTTTTTTAGACTCCCTGAATCTTTTTTGCCATCATATTTTCACTATGTTCTCCACATAAATAATAATTCTACAGACTATAACAGCAAAAAACATTACATCCTTGTGGGTATACCTCAGGTCTTCCAGAGTTTCTGTGAATTTTATGTATTGAAGGTCATTCGGTACCCAAGTAACTTATTCCTAGGAAAAAGCAAAAAATTTTGGAACTTTAGCGGTGAAAAGATGCTGAGGCCTTCTTCATTTGCTGTCAGCTATTTTATTAGCCCTCAGAGCAATAACACAGTATTATTCTTAAATATTTGCTTTTAGGATCAAAGGCAGATGACCCTTAAATCACTCTTGAAGACACTTTTAAGCATGCCATCCCACTATCGCTGTCTGTGTGTTAGCCACCTCTTTGGATGGATGGCTTTCCTGTCCAACATGCTCTTCTTCACGGATTTCATGGGACAGGTAAAAGCATAAAATCCTCTCACTTCTCCTTCCCTGCAGCAACTCCTCCTCCACCGAAAAGAATTGAGATGGCGTTACAATCCTGAAGAAATGACATTGATGTCAGAGCCAGGTGTATCTGGATAGCTCTGCAAGAGTTTTGTGAAAGAGCTAATTGTGGTTAGGCCCTTGTTCTGAGACAGTCTGTTGAATCATTGGGGAAAACCTTTCAGTATTTGTAAGGCTATTTGTATCTATTTAACTGTTCTAAATGAAGCTGTCAGAGCTGGTCCAAACACATCCATTTCCTGATTTATCTTCGGAGCTGCTCTGAGATGGGCAGGTTCTCTAACTGTAGTAATGCTTGGATGCAGCTGGCCTTATCCTGGTGCATGGGCACTGTCCACACAAAGCTGTTCACCTGCACTGCAGCCTCCCTGGCCTCCGACTGTGTAGGTTTTTGCACATAGTGAGCTTCTGGGTAGCAAAACCTCTTGTCTTCTTGAATTTGGCTGTTCCTCCATACCTCTGTAAATCTGTCCCTGAGTCAGTTCTTCCAGCAACTATTTGCCTTCATTTTACCCAGTGCTCCCTTTTCCACCCCATTCCCAGGCAGTAAGACCGTATGCCTTTGCCTGTGTGAACCTGTCTGCCTCCTTTCTTCCAGGATACTAATATGCTCCTGGCACATACCCAATCATTGCCACTTCCTTTTTTTTCTGTGATTTCCATGCATTATTCACATTTCCTTGCCTTTTTCGTCTTTACAGACAAGGCAAGAGGGAGGTGGGGTTTTTTCGTTTTTTTTTTCTGCAGTGTATATGAACAACTGAAAGAAAAGGTTTTGCTTGTCTAGATAAGGAACTGAATGTGTGGAAAAAGAGTGCGTTGAGGTAAACCTGAAAGAGAAAACAAAAAAATTAATTACAGATAAATTAGGGAGAGAAAGGCTAAGGCAAAAAGGCAGAATTGGAGAGAGGAGAGTAGGAAGTGAGACACCCAAAGGAAAAGCAACAAATAAGTCAATGCAGAGTGGACAGTCCAGGAAAAGGCAGAGGGTAATAAATGAGGAGGAGCCTGGGATGTCAAAATCTGAGAGAAGCGAGTCTGAAACATAGCGAATTATAAAGGATTGGTTGGGACACTGCCTAACAGATTTATTAGGTGCCAATTATCTCCTACTGGGGATGAGGCCCTTTGTAGGCTACCCTATTCCTGTAAGAGGGATATATTCTATACATGCAGTCATCCTTGCCTTCTGTGATCAACATGGTCTCTTTCAGGTTGTGTACAAGGGTAATCCTTATGCACCTCATAACTCCACACTTTACCTTACCTACAAAACAGGAGTAGAGATGGGATGCTGGGGACTGTGCATCAATGCAATTTCTTCATCAGTCTATTCTTGTAAGTACCCATGAATGAACTCAAATACTGTGTTTTAAAATAGTGTTTAAACTGCTTGCTATTTGCCATTGTTTAAAAAACAAAGTGATGCCAAATTAACTGGGTTTTCCCACATTAAAATTTTGAGGAATGATACGTTCTCAGCATAGTTAGAAACTCATATCTTATCATATCTTACTTCCTGACCACATGATGAGGGGTCACTTTGGGAGTAAGACATTGTTCTGCGTGTGGACTGACCCCACACACTGAACCTCATTCTGAAGTTAAATGCCAGGCTAAAATGTATGTAATGGGCATAATTCTGAGATGCTCTTTCACCTAGCAAGGCTGTAGCTATAGGCTCTCAAAGGTCACTCTGATGGCCTCTCCCCATCTGCATTCCTCATGCAGAAGTTCTTGAAACTTGAATCTTGCTCTCCAAAATTATGTGTAAACATACCAGCACAGCTCCCGAGATAGATTTCACCATAACTATTACGAAAGATTAAAAAAAACTATTTGTGCTCTGAAAACTCAAATAAATAGCATTTTGTGGGCTGAATTAAGCATCATGAAATGAGAGGCCTAGGGGAGATCTGTTCACCTTTGGAGCTCAACTACAGATATTTCTGTATGGCCTTTCTGTTGAGGAACATATATTCAGCACAGGTAGCTCTGGGTGCATCTGCAGTAGAAGTTGCAGGTTGAGATCTGGGTGGTGGGAACGTGAGGCAAGAGGCCATGTAGTGGTGAAGACACATTGCATACCAAAGGGCTGGAGCCCTGTGGCACTGGTCAGATGACTGGACACTCAGAGACACAGCAGGACATGATGACCCCAGACTTTTGTGTGCTTAGACTGTGAGGATATAAAAGTCCAGGGTTTCCTTTCTTTGGAGTCCCTCCTTGGAGGCTTCCCCCCTGAGAGGTCTCTCCTTGGAGGTCTCTCCTTCAGTTTGAGCTGTTATTCTATTGTTGCACCATGATTAAACTATTTTAAGGATCCATATGTCTGTTTACCTGCTATGAAAAGTAAGGAAACCTGGTCTGACTGTATGAGTGTGGGGTGTGTAGCTGCGAAGGGGCCTCGGTCCCAGCTCAGGTGGTGCGAGAGTGACTGCCAGAGGGGCTCCTGGATGGTCAGACAGGGAAATTTCCTTGACATTTCTCAGGTCAGAGGAAGGTTCATGCCAAATGTTTGCCTTGTATTCAAACAGGGGAAATGTCTGATGTGGTCAATGAGGGCAGTCCTTCCAGAATGTTTATTAACTACTTCTTCTCTGGAGCTGACTATGCCAGAATAAGATTATCCCCAGAGAGAGCAAGTATTCTTTGGCAAGTTTATACCTCCAATAATTTGAGGCAACTTCCAAAATCAGTAAGATTATCTCCTTCATTGCATTTTAAAAAATACAACCCCTAAATGAAACTGCTTGATGAAATCCAACCTGTTTTGTTTTAGTCTTAGCAGCATTTTCACTTTCTTTCCACAGATGTGCAGAAAGTCCTTCTGCCATACATAGGATTAAAGGGACTTTACTTCATTGGATACCTACTTTTTGGATTGGGTACCGGATTAATTGGCTTGTTTCCCAATGTCTATTCCACTCTGGCTCTATGTTCACTCTTTGGTGTCATGTCCAGCACACTGTACACGGTGCCATTCCACCTCATTGCAGAGTACCACAGGGAAGAAGAGGTGAGTGTAATGTCTAAGAAAGTGTAAGTGTATATCTCCCAGTGTCTGTTCAGTCTGTTTGGGGGGTAAACTGGATTGAAATGGTGCACAACTTTTAATTTTAATTTCAAATGGTGACACATATTATGAATGGGAAGTTTCTGACAGACCCAAACGCTCCAAACAGTCCTGCAATGAGGCAAATAATTGTATTTTTCATCACAACTGAAACAAAGCCAATCACACCACATGCTCAGGCAGTAAGGAGATAACACAGCTCCACTTGTGTTGCCTTCAAGTGCTACCTTCTATATATCCTCCCTTCCAGCTGTGTTAGCAGAGAACTTGACTTCTGAGTGCCTGAGGTTAATAAGAACATTGTAAAGGCTGGCAGAATTTTTAGTGAACTGCAGAGTGTTACAAAAGCTCTTAGCTAATAAACATGTGAAATTCCAGTAGGAACAGTTTTATATAGTTCAGTATTAAATCATATACTGTGACCTCATCATCTTTCTAAATGTCTGTGGTTGGTATTTTGCCCTCGACAGGATGAAATCTTGTTTCCAAGGAAAATCTGGAAAAGTTTGTACATCGTGTATCATGTTACTACTGGGCACAGCAGGATCTTCATGTATTGTAAAGTGTTGAGGTCTTTAATGGAAAAGTTCTCTCAAGTCTCTTAAGTTAGTGAGACAGCTGGGAACAAGAAGGATTAAGTAGAGTTGGGAGGACTTAGGAAAAGTTCTCATTATATCTTGGGTCATCTGAAGAAATTAATAAAGGAAATGTTGAACCATTGGAAAGACATATAGAGACATCATTGAGACCAGCACAGGTCTAGATCAAGTGCTGAAGAACATGTCCTACTGTTCTGTACAAGTTGCACCACCACCATCTGAATGATGAACACAAGAAAACGCTTTAATTATTCTATTGAATCCTAGAAGGATGTCTCAATGTGGTTAAATATTTCATACATCTGATTCCTAATTTTTCAGTTCATTTCTTTGCTCCTTCCAACAGAGAATGATCATAATGTAGAGTTTTATATAGATATAGCAAAGGACAGGGAATGAACACAGTTTAGGGTGAGATCACAACTCAGAGAGAGGGAGTAAAAGCAAAATTTTAGTCTAGCTCTTACTCAGAGCTGTTCCAAGACAGAAGTGAAATAAAATATGCTGAGGTGTGCATGAACTTTATATTTAATAAGCCAATATATTCAGATGTTACCTGTAAGACAGCCAGTTGTTTCTTCTTGTTGTATGGTACTTGCTATGACAGATGTTAAGTGATATATAATTCTGTGTTAGATTTGATATTAATATATTGAGGTATAGCTCAAATCTTGTATAATGTACAAGATAGGAAAAAAGTAAAGAGGCAACATCAAGCACAAGGTCGCATTTATTCATGCATTCATGTATTTGTGTCAAAGCCACTGTCACATAGGAGCACTGGAAACAGCCCAGCAAAATAGAATTATAAAGAAAAGGTGTCTAAAATTTAGATTGTATCATTCCAGAACAAAGAGTAGACATTTTCCCTCACTATGCATTCTACCAAAATCAAGCGCTGGGTTTTACAATGCTGTCATTTCAACTCCCATTCCGTGCTGCTGTTTCCTAGGATCCAAATTCAATTTTGTCTGCTGTATTAGGAAGAGACTGTTTGTCTCTAGTATTTATGAGCTTTGTGTGGTACAGCTCAAAGGCAAGGTAATAGGTTTTGCAAAAATCAAAAAGCATTTTAATGGCCAAGAGCATTTGGATACCGGAAGAGAGCAGTGCAGCTTGCCTGCAGTGTGGAAACCTTCTATTGTTACAGCACAACCTCCTCCATTGAACAACCTATGCAAGAAGAATAATAAATATTGAAATTATCCCATAATTTCCCAGCGAAACAGGATAATTCCTTCCTGAGTGGAATTACAGAGCAGCTGAAGTGAAAAGGGACCACCAAAGATCATATAGTCCAACCTGCTCAAGCAGAGCCACCTGTAGCAGTTTGCCCCAGGCCACGTCCAGTCTGGTTTGAATAATTACAAGGATGGAGTCTCCACAACCCCTCTGGTCAACCTGTTCCACTGATCAACCAGCCTCACAGGGTGCTAATTTGCAAGATATTTGTATATAATAAATGAAAGCTTCTCTTTGCTATGTATATAATAGAAGATACACAGATAATTGGTAGGTAACAGTTCAGTCTTTGGTGGTGTAGTAGAATCCTACTCCGGGCATTTGTTTGCAGGTTATTTCTCCCCCCTCCCTCACTCCCCACCCCAGCAATAAAAAGCATGACATGTAGATTTCAGCACAGAAGTCCTTTACGTGCTTTGAGACATTACTTCAGAGTAAATTCCTGTATGTTTGTGGGGCATATATGCACTTCTATAAAGCTTTTGACATGGTCTCCCACAGCATCCTTCTCTCCAGTTTGGAGAGAGATGGTTTTGATGAATTAACTGTTAGACAGACAAGAAGGTGGTTGGAGAGTTGCATCCAGAGGGTAGTGGTTAATGGCTCAGAGTCCCCACAGACATCGGTGACAAGTGGTGTCCCTCAGGGGTCCGTACTGGAACCGCTGTTATGTAATACCTTCATTAATGACACAGATGAGAGGATCAAGTGCACCTTCAGCAAATTTGCAGGTGACACCAACTGAGTGGTGTGGCTGATACACCTGAAGGATGGGATGACATCCAGAGGGATCTGGAGAAGCTTGAGAAGTGGGGCCATGGCAGTCTCATTAAGCTTAACAAGACCAGATTAGGGGCTGAACAGATCAAGAGCAGCTCTGCTGAGAAGGACCTTGCAGGGTACTGGTGGATGAGCGGCTTGACATGACCCTGCAATGTATGCTTGCAGCCCAGAAGTCCAACCTTATCCTGAGCTGCATCAAAACAAGCATGGTCAGGGGTGATTCTGTCCCTCTACTCTGATTGATGAGACCACACCTGGAGTGCTGCATCCAGCTCTGGGGTTCCCAGCACAGGAAGGACATGGACCTGTTGGAGTGAGTCCAGAGAAGGGCTGCCAAGTTGATTAGAGGCATGGAGCACCTCTCCTGTGAGGAAAGGCTAAGAGAATTGGTATTGTACAGCCTGGAGGAGAGAAGGCTTTGAGGTGACCTAATTTTGGTTTTCTGGTACCTAAAGGGAGCCTACAAGGAAGATGGAGAGAGACTACAGAGGCATGGAGGGACAGGACAAAGGGCAATGACTTCAAACTGAAAGAGAGTAGGCTTACATTATATATTAGGAAGAAATTCTTTACTGTGAGGTTGGTGAGGCACAGGCACAGGTCACCCAGACAAATTGTGGATGGCCCAACCCTAGAAGTGTTCAAGGCCAGGCTGGATGGAGCTCTGAGCAACCTGGTCTAGTCAAACGTGTCCCTGCCCATGGCTGGGGGATTGCAACTAGATGATCTTTAAGATCCCTTCCAATCCAAACCATTCTGTGAATCTATGATGATCCTTTGATAGTATGATATCCCTTTGAGACCTTCCTTCAGCCATGAGAGTTAGAGCTAAATTATCTATGGTGGGATGTCCTGCACTGTTAAATGTCAGTTTGCTAGAGCAAAAATTGACCTGCACTTGAAAGAAACATCTAATTTTTATGGTCAAGTTTCAATTGCTTCCTTGAGAGAAGGAATAGAGGGAAAAATTGCAGACAAGGAAAAACTGTACAATACGGTGGGAGCTTGGAAAACTCATTGTTACTTGTAAATTCTCTGAATTCTGTAACCTCTGTGCGACAAGAAGGGAAGCAGGAAGCTATTGAACTGTCTTGCTTCACCTGGGGGTTGCATGTAGGGTCGGACTCAATGGTCCTTGGAGGTTCGACTCAATGATCCTTGAGGTCTCTTCCAGCCTGGTTGATTCTATGATTCTCTGTTGTCATGACTTGCATGTTTCACTGGGGTTTGTTTTGTGCTTATTTGCAGACCCTGAAGCTGCAGAATGGGGAACAAGCAGGAGACCATGGGCGAGGGAAGGGCATTGACTGTGCTGCTCTTACCTGCATGGTTCAGCTGGCCCAGATCATCCTTAGTGTGGGCCTGGGGCTCTTGGTTAGTGTTGCTGGCAGTGCGGTCACTGTGATTTCGGCATCTACGGTGGCACTGATTGGTTGCTGCTTTGTTGCTTTCTGCGTTCGATATGTGGAGTAGGACTGTGAGATGTGATTGGAAGAAATCGGCCCAGTGGGAATGTTTTCTTTCTGGGTCAGTAGCACTGGTGCTGTTGCTGTGCTGATACTGCTGGCATGTCCTCCTCTCTTGCCTCCTCGGATCGGTTGCAATTCCAGAGCTGTATGAAATGGAGACTTGATAGAACTGGTTGCCTAATGCCCCAGATACATATATACACCCACTGTATATATATACACCACTATGGCATGTGATGGTGTGTATGCCTGTGGTATTTTGATGCCCTACATGAGGATTCATTACGAAACTCCTCCTTACCAATTTGTGGATGTTAACAGATGAAGTATGTGATAAACTGAAGTAATATAAATGGAGTGAGTTAGGAAGAAAGTTATTATTTATCTTGTTTTTCAAGTATGTTTGGGGCTGTTTCCTCCCTCTGATAGTCAAAAGGTGCAAGAGGACCAGGCAGGTGTCAGAGGCCACTCAGGGTTCAGTTGTGTTTTGATTAGTAGTACTGCTAAATGAAATATGTTAATTAGTAGCTACTGTCAAAAGCAGATTTGTGTGTGAAAAATGATGGGAATATAAAAAAGATTGAAGCCCATTATTTAAAAGCATAACTGTAAAATAGTTATTTTATACTGGATCCTGCTGCTTCTGTATAAATGAAATTAAAGTATTGGCTGGGCTTGTCAGGAAAGCCTGCCTAAGACTGCTCTGCAAATCCACATGTAGGCACCTAAAAAATCCATCCACGGGGAACAGCTGCCATTTCTTCCTTCTTAAAAAACTTGCCTCTCACTTTTGATACTGTAATTGAAAAAAATAAACTTGGCCAAAGTAAGAATTTGTTGAATGCTTGAAAGCCACTTAAATCTTGACATTGGATGTGACAATATTTACCTTAAAGTAGCCTCTCTCTTTCCTCTGTTTTCCTTCATGTATCTAGCTTGGCTGAAATGGCATTTGCTCTTTACAGAATATTGTAAATAAATTCAGTTCTGCAAAGCACTGTCAGGAATTATTGTACAGTAAATACATAAACCCAGTTATTTGTATTTAATTGCATATGAAGCTTCACTCTTATTTTTATAATATTGCCAGAGTTTTTAAAACCCTGTTTTTGTGAAAATGATATACTGTATTTATGCTGTGCTTCCTCTGTGCTGAAAACTGTAATATCTATTCACTATGTTATATGTTAAGCTACATGAAGCCATATTGCTAATGCAATATTGTTAATGAACAATGAGAGACTGTTGCCAAGTATGATGTTTATGGTTGGTTTTGTTGTGAGTTTTTTTAATGTTGCACATGTATAATCAACACTATTCAGTCAAATGCAGTGTTGAGCAGGTCAGCTCTTAGAAGCTCTGCAAGATATGAACTGACAACACCACAAATATACGGTTATATTTGAGCATCAAGTGGCTCTGCAAAGATGCATCAGCTTCATCCTTTTTCTACGTTTTCAAGAGCAGTGTAATTTATTCTCAGGAAAACCAATTTCCTTTAAGTAAATTATTCTTAATTATAACAAGCCCATGGAATCCTGAGATACCTTTTCTTTATGATGACTGTGTCTCCACTGTAGGCCAAATAAGGGGCTCAGTGCAAGGCAAATTTCACCACAGCATCTTCATCCTACCTTATGAAGAAACCATGTTTTATGGTTTCTTTTGTTTTGTGGCTTTTCATGTCACCCCCATGGAAGAGAAAACCTTGGAAGACTGAGCCCTTGGTCTGTGCTTGAAAGAATTTGCAGGTACTGAGATGGCTGGAGCACAAGGGTCTCAACCAGGACGAACAGGAGCAGGCCAGAAAATGAAGGATTTTTGTTTTCCCAATTCACTTTATGCCATCACTAACTTCCATTAACTCAGTATCTCCTGAGAGGACGAATTTTTAAGGGAACAGAAAGGCTTCTATGGAGCCATAAAAATAGATAAAGGAGGAGGTGATCTGGTTTAATAGGACTGCACATGTAAACCTGTGCTTCAGAAGCTGAGGTTATAGAGTTCTGATTCCTCTGTAAGGATGGGTTACAAATTTTGCAATGTTTGCCTATGTCTTTGTCAATATTTTCTGTGAGGTTAAACATCATCAGAATACTAACATTTAAATGGTCAGAGTCATCTCTATTACATAGAGAGAACACTCAGGCTCACAAAGTGACTGTAGATCTGTTACAACATAAGAAGAGTTCTGAACCTGCAGAGAGAAGATAGAGCTGCCCATCATGTATATCAATGCTTTTATTTACAAATTTATTCACAGAAAACTGTTTCAGGAACTCATCACCTTTCTCATTATCTTTTGTTTTAAAATTCTCTGCATGCTACAGAGGACAGAACAGATTTAACTCAATTCTTCTCTGAAAGTTTCTCCATAAAAACATGCTATATTGTTTCCAAGACTTCAAAATAATATCTTTCTTTATGAGCCTGTGTCAAAAATAGTAAGTAGACAAAAAAATGTCCAATTTGAAAAATGGCATTTAAACCCCCCCCAAAATTATGAAGGTGCTCATTCTGAAGTTGGAAATATATTTCAAGTGTTATTGAAAACAATATAAAATGTTACTAATTCATGAAAGGGGATAAAATAAGTATTTCTTTCAGCAATAGAAATGTTACTAACGCGTGTTACTAATATAATATGCTACTAATACATGCAAGGGGATAAAATAAGTATTTATTTCATCATAGAAATGCTAAAATGTTAAAGATATTGAAGAATTGTACTGTGATACTACTAATTTAAGAAGTTTCACCTATTCTGTGCTTTCACATTGGTTCTGGACTTGAGTTACCAATATGATCATTTATTGTACTTAACGTGAGCTCTTACTGCAATGGTGTGAGTTCAAAGTTACAAATGCCCTGTGCTTGATGTTTTTCATCTGGTTTTATTTCCACATATGTAAAGCCAAATAAATAGAGATCTTCCCTGTACCATATTTATGTGTATGATACATTTAGATGCATCACATAGAATCACAGAATGGGTAAGATTGGAAGGGACCACATTGAGTCATCTGGCCTAACCTCCCTGCTCAAGCAGGGGCATCCTAGAGCACATGGCAGAGAACTGCATCCTTATGGTTCTGGAGTATCTCCAGTGAGGACAATTCACAACCTTTTTGGGCAACCTTTTTGTTCCAATGTATGGTCATCTGCACGGTAAAGAAGTTCTTGCTCATAGTCAGGTGGAAGTTCGTGTGCCTCGGTTTCTGCCTGTTGCCAGTTGTCCTATTGCTTGGCACTACTGTGAAGAACCTGGCTCCATCCTCTTGACACCCTGCCTTTAGATACAGACATCAATGAGGTCCCCTCTCAGTCATCTCTCGTTGCTGCTGAGCAGACCCAGCTCCCTCAGCCTTTCCTCATAAGAGAGACGCTCCAGTCCATTAACCATCCTTGTATTCCTCTGCTGGACCTGCAAAAGATGAGATATCTTGTGATAATGAGCTCCTCCTCCCTCCCACTTTCAGAAAAGTAGTCATGTCTGAATGAATTGAGGCAGGAAACAAGTTTGCCATCTTATCTTCATAGCACTTTCTTTTCCTTTCTCTTACAAACATCTACCACTTATTCCCATTTTAAAAGCAGGCATGTCATGCAAGCAAAGCCTTCAAGGAACTCTTGGGTGTCTTGTTTAGAGGACTTGCAGTATTAGTAATGTCATAATTGTGGATTTTTCTTCCAGTGTTCATTCTGTCTTTCACACTGATCTCCTTATATTTCTTTGACTTGCTTGAAAATGAGAAAGCAACTCAGGTGGCTTATGGGAGATACACTTTTCTTCCAGATAAACTACACAAGTCAGGATGAATCATAAATGTCTTTGCCTTGGGAGAACTTAGCTTTCAGCTTTCACACTGGTACCCATGAATCACTACCAGTTCCTGCAGCATGTCAAAAGATAGGAAGAATGTTTTAAGTGGATGTGGCAATATTTCTGAACTGTAGGGTTCCTTCGTGGAGGAAAACTGTGGAAGGATCTGCTGTAAATCTGTCTTTAAATGATTTTGGGCATGATAAAGCCATACAAAAAAAATCTATAAAACAAATTTTTCCCCTCTAAGTTTCCAGCATTCATTTTTCATTCTCTAGCTATTCTGTCTTGTTTATTTAAGCAGCAAATATTCAGGGTCACTGATCCAAGACTAAACTGTGAAATGCAATTTGCAATTTTTATGGGCCCTGATGGGATGCATCCATGAGTGCTGAGAGACCTGACAGACATCATAGTCGAGTTGCTCATGATCATCTTTGAAAGGTCATGGAGATCAGGAGAGGTGACTGAGGACTGGAAGATGCCAAATGTCACTCCAGTCTTCAAAAGGGGCAAAAAGTAGGGCCCAGGAACTACTGGTCAGTCAGCCTCATCTCAATCCCTGGAAAGGTGATGCAGTGCCCCATTCTGGAGGCCATCTCTGCCCACATGGAAGACAAGAATGTGATCAGGAGTAGTCAGCATGGATTCACTAAAGGTAAGTCATATTTGACCAACCTGATTGCCTTGTACAATGAAACAACTACCTGGATGGATGAAGGGAGAGCAATGGATCTTATCTACCTCAACTTCAGCAAGGCTTTCAACACTATGTCCCACAGCATTCCCATAGGCAAACTCAGAAACTGTGGGCATTCACTAAAGTCATATTTGACCAACCTGATTGCCTTGTACAATGAAACAACTACCTGGATGGATGAAGGGAGAGCAATGGATCTTATCTACCTCAACTTCAGCAAGGCTTTCAACACTATGTCCCACAGCATTCCCATAGGCAAACTCAGAAACTGTGGGCTGGAGGAGTGGACAGTGAGGCAGATTATGAATTGGCTGAACTGAATATCCCAGAAGGTCATAACCTGATTGCCTTGTACAATGAAACAACTACCTGGATGGATGAAGGGAGAGCAATGGATCTTATCTACCTCAACTTCAGCAAGGCTTTCAACACTATGTCCCACAGCATTCCCATAGGCAAACTCAGAAACTGTGGGCTGGAG